TAGAGTTGGACATTGCCGCCTCTGCTCCACAACCCCAAGCCATGGCCACGAACTCGGGTAACAAGCCAAAGAGGAAATGGGGGGATAGAAAAAATAACCAATATCCAGATAAGGCATGTTATGTGATCATAGAGGTCAGGACAGCAGGGGAGATCCGTAAGCCGAAGCATCTCAGAGGATGATTCTATAATACAATTGGAGCCCTAGTAAGAGATCAGTTGAACCCAGTTGTCATCAGCTAAGAAAAAAAGTACCAGAGGAGACAAATAGAGATCTATGGGAGAAGTTCCTGATGGTCAATTTCTGGTTTCCGGAGGGAAGCCATCAACTGGTAGAATGTCAAGCTCTGAAGATAATGGAAGAGTCATTCCAACGTTGGAAGTCGGACCTCAACAAGAACTATATCCAAAAGGGGTTAACTCTCTTCAACGAGTTTGGCCACATAACTCCTAGTCAATGGGCAGACCTTGTGGCTCAGAAGACTTCACTAGAAGCATTGGCCCTTAGTGCCCGTAACACCAAGCTAGCGAAGAAGAACCAACACCACCATCGTCTAGGTCCCGGTGGCTACTATGGCAAGGAAGAGCAGTTTAGGAAGATGGAGGAAGAGGCCGCCACATCCGGGTCATTCGACTTGAGTGGGTTGAAGGTACGCTCAAGGAACTGGATCCTTGGGAGGAGTACTAGTACAGAAGCATCCAGTGGGCTTAAGTTTAGTAACCCAGAGACGGAACAGGCAGTATCAGAGATTCTGAAATATGCTAAAGACAAGGAGAAGGGCTCATTCAAGCCTTCTAGAGAGAGGGGCAAGCTTAGCCTTGCCTTAGGAAACCCCGAGCACACAGGCCGCACTAGGGGCTAGGGAAAAGAATGACCTAGAAGCATGGATTCGAAGAGGACCAACACATGTACAAGAAACATGGCAGAGATCGAGAGTCTAATCTTGAGCTCACCATGAAGGCTCTAGTTGCAAAGACGCTGGAGGAGCAAGGACTGTCTTCAGAGACAAGGACATTAATGGCTCCACCAGGAGAACTGGTATTAGTTAGTAGCCCTCCGGATGTTCCTAGCAGCCAAGGTCCACTGCAGCCACAACCCACGTCGATCGCATCCGAGAACCAACTAGTTGCACCTTGGTGGTTCTCATCGGCAGGCAGAACACTATGATGGAGGTGGCAAAGGGTGTGGCACATCCTCCTGGTGGCTTGCATCACAATAATAAGATCCCACCGGACTACACTAGGGTCAAGGTGCATTCCATGAAGCCCGAGTTCATATAGTAGAAGATAGACCACCCAACTCCAGAGGGACTGGCGTTACTCAGAGAAGTACTGAACTAGTTCATCATCTGGCACAAACGGTACATTGTAATGACTGCTTCTTCACCTCCTGTTCAACATTTGGAGGGACTTTTTGAGGGGAGATACTTTCACCGTCTCGTGACCACCACTTGCCTGAGATGCCACATTGTTCCCCGCCTCCTAGCGAGCACATGCATGAGATGCCACAACCTATGCCATAGTCTTCCCCGCCTCCTAGCGAGCACGTGCCTGAGATGTCATAGCCTTCTCTGCCTCATAAGGAGCAAGGGCCTCCTAGCAAGCACGTGCCTCTAGAAGAAGTTCATGCACAAGAGGGTGCCCGCAAGGAGCTAGAAATTTGGCAATAGATTCCAATCACCATAAGGCCAATTTATACGTGTAAAAGATGTCACATCGACGTGCAAGTGGTAGGCCCATAACCAGTTCAAGCCTGAGAACCAAGTCAAAGAAGTTCCACCATCCAAGGAGGCCCTCAGCCGCATCCGGAAACCGGCAAAGAGGTATCCAAATGTTGATGACACCAAATGGTCAAAGGATTGCTTAAAAATCTATGATAGAGGTAAGCCCTTCCTACCAAACCAGGACATTCAGCGCCTACCGCTTGGAATGAAACGGTTCCATTATTGGTACATGCATGCTCTCCAGACAAAAATACAAATCATACAAGCACACTTCCCTGCCAACACATTTGGAGGCCCAGATGGGGTAATTGACTTTGACTTCAATGACGTCCAGACAATGTTTCACCTTGGAGAAATGGAAATGAATCTAGTTCGCACATGGTGCCTATAAGTCCTTGCCCTCTTGATATAATATGATTCTAATCTTTGGATTTTGTTGTAACTAACCCACGGCATGATTTGTAGAATACAAGTGCACATTTCAAAACAAATGCCAAGTGTGCGATCAGGGTACGTAGACAGCCAAACTTTAATTACGCCAAAGAATGGTCACTGGATTGCAATGAGCTAGCTACTAGAAAGACCATTGAGGAGAAAGGGGAAATCCAAAACAAGGAAATAAGGGCGGTAGCCATTAAGACAGCGGCGTACATTGCCCTAGCTTTTAAATACCTCCAAAATAACCAAGTTATATGGCTGCCATACAACTTTGAGTAAGTCCAACTATATACTTAAAGCTTTAACAATGCACATTGTTTTGTTCGATGTAAAAGAGCTTATCGGTTTCTATGATTAAATTCATGCAGCCGCCACTGGATTTATATAGGCGTCGATGTCGGGATGGGCATGGTGTGGGTCTTTGATTCAATAGATAAAGACACGGCGACATACAAGGATTTCATATCGATTCTCAAGACGTATACATATCAACAATCCTCTTATATACCATGTAATGTTCACTTTTGGATACTAACAAGTTGCATTTGTTAAATTCATTCGAACAGGGCGTACAGGTACTATGTTAAGACTCACAAAGGGAGGCATGATCCACAAAGAAAGCATAACCTATGTGTCAAAACACTATATGCGGTAAGTGTAACTTGCTTAAGTACTCCATTACGTTGCTGTCAAAAGCATTACTTAATATTTTTATATGCGAAACACACAGTACCCCAAGCAGAAGTCCAGGAGTTTACATTGTGGATACTACGTATGCAGTATGATGAGTAACACCACTACCTATAGGAGACACCCCAGTAGGATAAGTTTGAACCTCTTCAACTCTTTATATGCTCACCGTGTTCAGATATGCTCACTGTTTTTATATATGCTCACTGTTTTTATATATGCTCATTGTTTTCATATATGCCCACTGTGTTTAGATATGCCCTCTGTTTTTAGATATGCCTAAACGTGTTTTCTTGTAGTGGCAAGATGAGAAAGGTGTGAGAAATGATCCACACAAAGATGACAACCTCTTGGAGCTCGTCGGCGACCTTTATAACTTCATAATGGAGATTGTACACGCAAGAGGGATTTACCATGACCGAGCGACCGAATTAGGTAGGAATCCTCAGTACCAACATCTTCGTGTGTGGAAAAGGCTAGGCTTAGGCCGTTGATTAGACTTGTGAATGGAATGTGACATTGGTAATGTTATCGGACTTATGGAACGGTCGGACTTATGGATTATGTGAATGTAATGATGAATTATATTTGTTCTTGTGATTTGGACTTGTAGTCTTATTGGATATAATGTTCTTGTGAATTGTATATGTATATGTATATGTATATGTATATGTATATGTATATGTATATGTATATGTATATATATGTATATGTATATGTATATGTATATGTATATGTATATGTATATGTATATGTTTTCTTGTGAATTAGTTGTTGATATAATGGACTTGTGAATCATATATGTTTATATGTTCTGGTCAGATCTGAATTTATAAATCTGAATTTTTTTTGCGGAAAAAGGTATTGTAGAGGCGGTTAAAGCGGTTCTATATTTAACCGCCCCTACAAATGGAAACTATAGGGGCGGTTGGTGTCACAGCCGTCCCTGCAAATCTAAATTGTAGATGCGGCTGGTGTTATCAGCCTCCCCTGCAAATCCTTTTGTAGCGGCAGCTCGTAACACCAGCCGCCCCTATAAATCGATTTGTAGGGACGGTTTGGGAACCGCCCCTACAAATCAATGATTTGTAGACACGGTCCACGGTAGTAGTGATGGTGGCTGTTTTAGTTTTGCATTCAGGTCAGATCCATACCAAATAAGATGCATTCTATATTATATTTATCAAGCTGTTTAATGATAGTTTTTCCATGGATCCTCATCGTGTTCAATATTTCAAATCTTGATGTACTACCTCCATTCCAAAAACAATACAATTCTAGGCACATTCTTGGTTAAAGTATCTAAATTTTGACCAAATGTATGGGTAAAACATTAACGTTTATGACATCAAATAGGTATACTATAAAAATATATCTCATTACAAATCTAAAGATACTTATTTGATAACATAAATATTGATATATTTTATATATAGTTAGTCAAACTCAAGATACTCAAGAATGCAACATAAAGAAGCACAACTTGATGATAAATAACCCATGACGATACCATGGTAACATATATCAAAAGCTAGACCTTTCATATATACTCCCTCTAGTCACCAATAAGGGACATATATATTCAATGGTAGCATGCATGTTATTTTGTATTTGTTGAGTATGATTATTTGATAAAGACATGTCTTTTTCTCTTGAAATATAGTTTAATAAAAGTATATTATTGCTATATTTTATAAACATTTTGCAAAACCTATTTAGTTAAAGTTTCTTTTGGAGATTATGTCGAAATTTCTAAAAGATCACTCATGTGTGACTGAAGGAAGCACTATATATCCTTGGATAAATAAGCACTCATGGGCCACCATTAGTTCTCTTAATTTTTTCCGAAGGTACTTATAACACATCTATATATCTCTTTACATATGTATGAAATCAAAATCAAAATCAAACACATGCGTAGAGAGTAAACTCTATCGGTCTATCCTTGTATACTATTGCAAGACACTTCTTAAACTACAACTAATGGAACAACCGCTAGTGTTGACGACAATTCTAACTAGTATAGAAATAACGAAATTTCAGCCATGCATATGCGACCGAGGAACAGAGAAAGAGAGATACCAGAACCTCAGGTACAAAGGTGCACATCCAGAGTGGCACTGTGACTTGGTGCCAGACTGCCAGTTACCTAGAGTCTCAGCTCAAGGTCGAGATCCAGATGCTCACCCTGGTCAGCTGTGTCGGCGCTGGTGGCCGCAGGCGCAGCGGAGGCCCTGACCCAATTGAGCATGTCGATCGTGCCATCGCAACCAGCCAGCGTGCCATCAGCCACCACCCTGTCCATCTCTAGTGGCCTGATGTTCACCGGTGCGAATAGCGCGGCCCGCCTTTGCAGCATTCTCGCTCGAAAGTTTGGGACGACGGCGGTGCCAGTGCCATTCCCGTCACGGCCACCGGCAGGCACAGGCTGAGCGCGCATAGCGCTGCCACCGTGAGACAGCGATGGAATGGACAAGGTGGCAGCGCTACTGACGCTGCGGTCGACGATCGACGACGACAACGCCGGCTCAGCGATGGTGCCGACGTGCTAGCCGCCGTAGACGTAGGGGTTCCAGCTGGTGCTTCGCTCCTTTTTGTGGGCATTCTGGTGGCCACCGAGCGCCTGCGACTTGAGGAACGTCTTGTCGCAGAAAAGACAGGAGCAAACACGACGACGCACGTTCCTGCCGCCCACGTCGCCGCCGTCGCCGGAGCTGCCGCAGGCCGCCAGTGCCAACGTCAGGGACAGGTCCGCCGCCGCTGCCCCCGCTCGTTGTGGAGCACTAGATGGTAAGCTCTCCATGCGCGCAAAGGCGTTTTTGAAGTAAGCAATGCAATTTACCTTGCGGTCGTGGGTTCTCCCTGCCTCGCTCTCCCGGTCTATATATATATCTACATAAACATTGTTGCATCTCAAAGTATATAACTTTGACGGCGACACATCACCCCCCACATGCATTCACCAATTTTCAAGCTGAATTTGTGCATGGTACATTATTGTCGTTACTCGAACCATGGCTTCTAACCCCTTCAACAACATATATTACATCCTGACCACTTCACTTACATATATGCATGTTTATTCAGAAAATGATTCTTATTATATTCATTATAACCTTTGTTGGCAGCGAGTTGGACACAACACCATTTGCTGATCTAAATAGATTCAATTGTTTACATCGACAAAATTGTCGATCTTATGAGGGGACATAACTTTTTGGACAAATAATTTTTATCTGACTCTATATGAATATTTTCGTACAATCTGTTAACTAAGTACAACAGTTATTTACTGTGGCTTCGGCAAACAAACAGAAGCATTTTTACTTTTTCCTGATGTAAATACTCTATATATTAGAGATTACTATTTCTTTACAAAAAGAGAGATTACTATTTGTTTAACATATATTTTTGTTAGCAATCTACATTTACACTCATGAATAAACTAGAATGCGTGATTCCAATAAAGTATTGATACCATGGTGATTCTAAAGATATTTGGGTATTAAATAAGTTGAACAGATATGTTTTCAATTACCAAGTCATAGATCTCATCAGGGGTACAGTTTTCATATAAATTTGTCTTCATCCAACTAAGTCAGAAAAGGCAGGTATTAATTTTCAAAAACAATCTGCAAACTTATAAGAACTTTCGGATAGAACTATGGTAAAATAATCAACGATTGTTATAATAATTGGTTTATGATAGAAAGTGATTGTAATAATGTCGTTTGGGTAGAAGGATTGTTTTATGAATGAACCGTGTTTTGTCTAAATTTATCGTCTAGATGTATTTCCATAGTAGATTCTAGCCCCGAAGCCATTAGTGATGGTTCTAGAGGTTCAACCAACTATGCTTTGTACTCCCTCCTTGTAAGTCATTCCAGCTTTTCTGGGTAGAAGCTATGTACCTAGAAAAGCCAGAATGACCTACAATTTAGAACGGATGGAGTAGTTTACAAGACACTCATTGTAAAATCGACATGTTATATATTTTTAATTGACCGTAACATTTACTATATATATTTTCTATTGTAGTACAATCATCCTCAGTTTGTACCTTGGACAGATCGTCCAATGGCTCTATATCTTCTCAGAAAGACAAGCTAGATATGGGACACACATATAAGACACTCAATCTTTAGTTTGGTCACATGCATAAGTACTCTTCTAGGAAAACAAAGTAATATATTGTACTTAATTATTTGTACTGGTAAAAATTAAAAAATGTACAACAAAATCGATGAGCTTCATTATTCCTAAATGTATTGGAACCAAAAAAATTAATCTATTATTATCTACACATATTTTACCTCGGAATATATACATGGTACAGACATATATACTGCGGAATATGGTGGAATAAACAAAATTTATCTCACATCCCTCTATTTACGCGGATAATTTAGCCATTTATGATCTCAAAAGGTGCACAAAATGGAAGCGTTAGCGTCAAATAGTGGAACCAAACAGGTATGCCCAATCATCACAAGCATCTCATACTCAATACCTTACATGCATGCCCCAACAAGCAAACTTTTTCTAACTAGTACATGGCAAATAATGTAGAAGTTTGCCTAACTTCAGCCATGAACAAAATGCATGAACATGGACAGCACGATGGCATCATAAGCACCCAAAGGATATCCATGTACATATATATGTCTGAACCGGTGGACCATCAGCTCTGTTTTGTAGAAATATAAAAATGTAATGTGTTTAAACTCTTAAGGCAGAAAGAACTCCATTTTTTGCCATAAAACTTCAACATTTTTTTGTTATCAAACTTCAAAATCAAAGAAATATGAACCCTCGACTCACTATGTGAAAACCTCAAAATGTTTTGCGAGAAAGATGACTGGTCAACAAGCACGTTTTTATTTAATCCTTATTGATGGTCATGCATACCCTATATGCCGCCCTTTGGTTCGGGGGGAGGGGAGGGGGGCAAAGCCAACCATGTGATAAGTAAAAGGTAACAGACATCAACATCATCCGTTACTGATCAAGTAGGTATTATTTCGCCCATCATTCTTAACTGGACTAATCGTGATGGGCTTCCATTTTCATTTATATATGTCACTTGCTGGTGCATTTTGAACCATTTTGAATGCACTTCCAGTGATATGCTCCAGAGCAACAGCTTCAATGCATTGACCATTCACTACTCTGGTTCTATGGATCACTGTCAGTTTAAAGTCCGCCATCACTGCCGAACAGATCTGATAGATGGCAATTACCAATGATGCGGCTGTAGCGATTTTTTTTTTTAATTTTAACACTTTTTTAAAACTAATTTTGAATCTAACACTGTTTGTTTTTTAAAAAAAACTAACACTTTTGGCCGCGCCTATTGCCCTGGCGCAGCCAAATGCTTATGCCGCGCCATGCATGGTGGCGCGGTAGAGGGCTGACGTGGCGGCGACCGGAGTCGCTGACCGATGATGTGGCAGGGCCTGCCGCGCCATCGACCTTGGCGCGGCAGTGCCGCGCCCTGATCCGTGGCGCGGCAGAGCCGAATGAAACCCCGCGGCCAGTCCCGCTTGCCCGAGCAGCAAGCCCGCCTGGCCGCCGCGCCCGCCGCCCACCTGGCGGTACCTGGACGGTTTAATCGGAACGCGTCGCGCCGATAGTGGGAGTTATTCTAAGTATTGCTTGACGTAAAATCAATAGTGGATTTGTTTCTGTTTTTTGTTGAATTTTTTTCATGGCCGAATAGAGAATTTGATAAGCCAATGATTTTTTTTCCGTCTTTCATAATACGGTTAACCACCATGTTAACTAATCGATTACGAAAAATTGGATCGCATTGAAACGAATATTTTTTAAGGGAACTTATTTATTTGGCTTTTTGGCCCCATATTGTAGGATCGGCGGCGACACGACCATGGACCCCGGCTTCCTCGACCCCTCGCGCAAGACGCCGGCCACTGGCGTCGAGATACCCCGGGACTACCGGTTTCCGAACTAGTTGCTACTTAATCTCGCATGCAGTGATGCCGTGACGCATTGAAACGAATATGAAGCAAATAAATGATGTCCGTGCGCAAGTTGACAAGCTGACACATAACATTTTATTGGTTTGACATAAGTTCGACATAACATAACCAAGTAAGCCTGCAAGTTTCGAATGCCAATAATAGTTCGACCTAACAAACTAAGACTCAGGACTGTAAGGATCTCTCGGACGCCTCTGTCTCTTTGGATTTGTTGGCAACACATTGGAAGTGTAGCCAACGTCGGTGTGGTCGCGTTGCCGGTGCGTACGGCTCGTACCCTGCAAGTATATGATATGCACGATTACTTAGAATTCTTTATGATCGTTAGTTCATGTAGCCTACGTATTTAAAGAAACTACCTTTATTAGTACCTATGACGCTCATTGGGTACCAAGCGGGGCACCACCTAGCTGAGACATGCCGATCTCGTCCTACGGCCAATCGTCCCACTGATCGTGCTGTCTACGGAAGCCCGGGGGGTCGTCGTCGTCGTCGTCATCGTCGTCCTTGTCGTCCTCGGTTGCAGGGTCCTTCCCAGCGCTATGATGTGGTGGTGTACGCACCGCGGAAGTGGTACCTATCACCGGCTGAGAAGAGCCGGCTGGTGTCCTCAAAGAGGCTGAAGACGTGCCACCCGACCGCGCCGGGAGTGGCGGTTCCACATAAGGAGTGTCTATGCAGTTCAGCTTCTGAGCTAACTTCCTGCAGCTCTTCTTCACCTTCTACATAAATAGACGTTAAAGTTAGTGCATTTCCCAAACGCATGTACACTAAAGAAATATTTTCAGAACGAACAAGTTTATGTTTACCTCCACAAAAGCCTCGAGAACGCCTGGCCCCTACCTCTAGACTCGTGAAGCCAAAACACTGCTTCGTTGGACATCCTTGACAATTGTGTCGCCTAGGTATAGAAACGCGGTTGGACAGTTTTAGTATACATACTTAATACCAAAAGGATAACAAATTATACCATTCAAGTATCTTACCACGTATCTTTGAAGCGGGGCTCTCTATAGCTGTTTGTCCTCCCTAGTGGCAACGTCGTACACATCTTCGATCACATCTTCCTCCGAGTCCTCGTCAATCGCCTCCTCAATGTACGGGGGCTTGATATGTGTCCTCGTAGACCTGTGAAGCCAGCGCAGGTACTCGTCGAAGGTGTGCTGGTCATGTGGAGGACCCGCATGGACCGGCTGCCGTTCCCTGGTCTCCCACAAAAAGATGTGCGCATTGTGTGTCACGCGCCAATCCTTGGTCTTGTACCTCTTCCTGCGGTCATACCTACAACAAAACGATGTTAGTTGTACCACACACACCTCTAAATTGTAGCTTTGTTATTAATCGATAACGCACCCGTGCAATCCTTGGTTGGTGGAGTAAAGCGGTGGTGGGTAGCCTGTCATTCTTTCAAACTGTCTGTAGACCCTGATGGGCAAGTGAATCTTGACCACGTGGAAGAAAATAAGAGGGACGTTGCAGCGATACTCCTTTAACTCGTCCCTAGTGATAGGACTGAAATAGTACTTGAGCTCCGGAGCATCCCAAGGACACCAATGCACCTGAATATTTTGTAATTGAGTTAGGCTGTGATATAGTGTAGATCGAACAAGACACAGGTATGATAGTAAAGAGAGCGTAACCTGGTGCTGCGTCAGGACATCGAGACCATCCGTGTACTCCCTGTACTTGTGCCTCGCATTCCCTCTAACTAACTCTGATTTCATCCAGATAAATAGAGCTGTAGGGAGTGTATCCTCCCCGTTCCATTGCTGCATTGAACACGATAATGAATTAGCCATTAATA